TCTAGATATTGAATATTTGACAGGAATTCCAAAGATTAGCAAAGATTTCAACAAAGAATTAGTCTACTTTTCAATCTTTGAAAACGTGGATTTCAGTAAAAATTCGAATCCATCACAGAATGAGATGAATCGTCATGAAAAGAACTCATCTGAAGAGGAAGAGGAAGTTCATAATCTGAAGAACTTATTTAACATTTTGCTCGACTCTATCACAGAAGGAAATAGATCAACATCAAAATTTCCAGAAAGAGTTCGTAATAAGAAGAACAAAACTTGTAGCTCAGAAGTTTGAACAATTCAAGCTAAAAATGGTGCTTTATATCTTTGCTCCATTCCTGTTCCACAACAACGAGCAAAGAGGGGCATCTGTAATCACCATTTTTACCTTAGCCTCCAGCAGCTGCAGTACTTCAATAACAGGTAGCTCCCTGCTCAAATTAGCACCCGCCGTCATCTCTACATTCCAGTAGCTTCCGGCAGCTCCACCTGTGGCCTCATGAGCATTGTCCATGTCCAACATACTCATCAGCAAATAAAAAAACAACAATAAATATTAGATTTTTATTTTTTACACATGTAATATGGGTTATAAAAACCCAACAAAACAGAAGAATGAATCCTCCTCCTTCCTCTCGCCCCCCATTCAAAATAAAACAAAAAAATTTGTAACAGATGATTTTTTTCTCTATTTCTTCGAAAAGCAATTCAACAACAGAGAGTACATTTTTAAGGTTTACTTTCTCTTTGAATCTGTTATAGTGTTTTTCAATTGTTTTTTTATTTTTGAACTAAAGCAGGAGATTAATAATAAAAAAAGAGCAGCAAGTTAATATAAAAAAACAATAAATAGGATTGGTTTTACCTCGTTATTGGTCCTTGGTCGGATCTCTCTTCCATCATCGGTAGGAACGCGAGGGGGGCAACTATAGTGGTGGTCGGCGTTGGAGCCTTGGGTTTTTTATATGACCGGCCAAATAACTTGGGTGGAAGCTTTGGCATGGTCTTCTGCGTGAAAAAAAAGAAAGGAAGAAGATGAGTTTTAAGTCTATAAAATATTGGCATAATACAAACAAATACCCCTAACGTTTGACACTATATGCATTTGTGCCCAAATCATTTTTTTGGAGCAGTTATACCCACAACGTTTGATTATGAGGCTTAAGTCCCCCCCTGTTGGATGGAAACCATCAGTCAACTGACGGTCAACGAGTCCATCTGACGTGGCATGCATATGTGGTCATCGATGATGATGTGGCATTTCTATGCCACTATTTTTTGCTGACGTGAAATTTACACGTGAACCCAGATGTTGATGTGGCATGTAATAATCATCATAGATGATGATGTGGCACTACCACATCATATTTTTAAATAAAATTAAAATATTATTCCTAATATTTATATATTTTTATTTAATATTTTCTGTCCAATAAGATGATGACACGTGTCAACACCATATTGGTTTAAATTTAAACCAAACAAAACATGTTTTTTGGGGGAATTAAACCTGGGCCAAATATTTGAAATACCGTCACCAAACCACCAAGCCAAATCTTTCATTTGGTTATTTTTTGCATTACAAAATATTTAACATATACGTTATGTCTCTCACATATTTTATTAAACACTTGGTGAATGCATACAGAAAAATATTTTGTCAAACCCTGATTTATAAACATGCTCACGGTGAAAACATTCACATCAATTATCAACAAATTTAGCATTGATGACAGATCAAGCTTGCAACATGATGAAGCGAATCAAACTTTAAAAACCTAGTTGAACTCGTACAAATAAAAAAAAGAAGTAAAATGAACAAATCTTAAGAAAGTTTCTAGTTTGTTGGTTTCCTTGTCCCACGTTTTCCTGAGACTGCAAGAATCCGGACTCATCAATGCAACTGGAAGGTGTCATTATTGGATTAACCACAAAATCAATACCCTTTAGTCTATCGAGCACTCCCTGCCGGGAAAAGGTGGCAATAAGATTGAATTTTGAGACATGTTTGTTTGGGATGGACCCGACTGTTCCACCTGTGGAGACCCGGATGAGAGAACATCAACAGCAGCCCGCTTAGCTGCTGGCCATGTAGCAGAAGTTATTATGGGATTGGTTCGGGGCAAGTTGAGCAAATTGGAAGATTCATCTTGGGGAAAGGAACCCAAAAGACTATACAAAGGAGAAACGTCAGGATTGGCCACAGGGTTTCAATTGGAATCAGAAAAACTATGTTATTGGCATAGCGAAGGTATGCGTTGCAATGGAGATGATTGGGATTGAGAGGCTGAAGCATGTTGTGATATGCCCGACATTGCGTTGGAAATCTGTTGCTGATTAACCAGTTACTGCTGCGACTATTGTTGTTGTTGGCTAGTAAATAGCGGCTGCTGATTATTAAACAATGGATGATGAGGGTGGTGGTGTTACTGTTGGTTATTAAATGAATTCTGACGTTGCAAATGTTGCTGAAGTATATGTGGCTGAGTTTGAGGTTGAGATTGATGTTGGTTATCGACAATACCCTGAAAAATGACCAAAGGCTAAGACTGTTGAAGTATTTGGGGATGCATTAGAGCGGTAGGTCTATCGGGGACATTTTAGGGTTGCTGGAATTACAAAAGGGAAGCAGTTGCTGATCTGGAAGGATCTACAATCCTCATCTCTTGCAATGTTGTAGCAGTCATAGCTTGGTACATGTCATTCACCAAGTGTTTGATAAAATGTATGAGAGACATAACGTATATGTTAAATATTTTGTAATGCAAAAAATAACCAAATGAAAGATTTGGCTTGGTGGTTTGGTGACGGTATTTTAAACATTTGGCCCAGGTTCAATTCCCCTTAAAAGTATGTTTTGTTTGGTTTAAAGTTAAACCAATATGGTGTTGACACGTGTCACCATCTTATTGTACAGAAAATATTAAATAAAAATATATAAATATTAGGAATAATATTTTAATTTTATTTAAAAATATGACGTGGTAGTGCCACATCATCATCTATGATGATTTGTACATGCCACATCAATATCTGGGTCCACGTGTAAATTCCACGTCAGCAAAAAATAGTGACATGGAAACGACACGTCATCATCAATAACCATATATGCATGCCACGTCAGATGGTCCATTGACCGTCAGTTGATTGACGATTTCCATCAAACGGGGGGTACTTATGCCTCATAATCAAACGTTGTGGATAGAACTGCTCCAAAAAAACGATTTGGGCACAAATGCATATAGTGCCAAACGTTAGGGGTATTTGTTTGCATTATGCCTAAAATATTTAGGTTATTCACGTAGAGGCTCCCTCATTTTAATACCCCTTTGTATTCTGGCATCTGTTTTTAGGGTAAAACTACACTTCAGTCCTCTAATCTATGTTGCATTTTCGTATATTGGTCATTGAAGACTTTAATTCAATTTTAAGGGTAAATCACGATAAGGTCCCATGACCTTTTTAGTCATTTAAAATAAGGAAAATCATGAAATAATCTCTCTAATTTATGTGCATATTTACATTTTAGTTCCTAATTTCTTTTTTTATTATTCCAAAATTAGCTGCTATATTTTTATTTTCTTTTATTTTGATCTCTTTGATTTACTTTATTATATTTTAGTCATATTAATTCTCTATTTTAATCTTTTGAACTATTTTATTTTGGGCATTATATTCTGATATCTTTTATTTTAGTTCCTTACTTTATATTTTAATCTTTTAATTTAGTCATTTACTTTATATTTTAATTTATGTCATTTACTTTTTATTTATTTAATTTTATTACTTTAATTTTCTATTTTTTTAATTATTTTTGCTTTACATTTTTCAATACTTTAATTTTAGTCTTTTAACTATTTCGTTTTATTTTTTGTTCATTTCATTTTAGTCCTATGAATATATATATGTGTGTGTGTGAAATATTCATAAGTACAACTTGGTTAATTTCACATATTAATTAAATAATGATATTTATTTATTTTTTATATTAAGAAAATGATTGTCTTAAAGTAACTAGAGGTCATATTATGATATTTTAAAAAATAAATAAATATCTTGCTTATAAATATATATATATTTACTTAGTTTTTATTATTTTTTAAGGAAAATTATTATATTCTTATTATTATTTATTTATTTATTAATATTAAAGAAAATGCAGTCTGAAAGCAACTAGATGTCATTTTCTGATATTTTTAAATAAATAAATGTCATATTTACAAAACCCTAAATTTATATATATTTAATATTTTTCCTTAAGAAATGTCATATTAAATTTGAAATAACTTGATCATAAATTAAATTTATATTTGAATTCTTAAATTCTACTATTAGAGACAATTTATAATCGACAGGGACCAATTTTGGGCGTTGTGGGGTGCTAATCTTTCCCCAAACGTAATCGACCACGATTCCCTTTTTATTATTAAAAAAAGAACGAATTTTTGGTTAAACGCATACCAGTTTATTTTTTAACTGATATTTTCTTAAAAACTCTTTTAAAAGACAATTTTTAGGTATTCGACATACCTTACTGAAAAAGGTCGATGTCGACTCCCAAAACATTTCATAAAACCCATTTATTTATCCACATTATTTTTCCCGCCAAGTAAAATTTTGTACCCGTGCGAAAACTGGTTACGACACTTACGTTTCTGCATTTGGATCATATTATATTAGTTCCAAACTGCCACTGATATGAATCGTTATTTTGGTGAATTTAGATATCGTCTCATGTTCATCGATGACAAGATTAAATTGTCAATGCATAAAGTATTTAATTCATTCTTTGTGTGCAGTGTAGCAATTTCATTTGTAGTTTCTACATCTATTATTTACCAATTAATGTGATATGTATTCTGTGGATCACTATGTTCAAAAAACAAGCGTGTAAATTACCAAACTGTTCTTTATATAATTGAGTGATGCATTGATGGTTGTCAATATTTCTTCACCTCTATTAGTTCACAGGTTCATTTTTATCCTATTGTATGTTCTGTCAGGACATCCTGATGGAGAAGGAACTGGTAGGTCAAAGCAAAGCAGAAGCGAAAAGAAGAGTCGCAAAGCTATGTTGAAGCTCGGGATGAAACCAATTCCAGGTGTTAGCCGAGTCACCGTCAAGAAGAGCAAAAATGTAGGTCCTCTTTCCATATTATTAAACCATTCGTTACTTCATTGCCTTGTCTGATAGTAGATGATAACTGATTTTACTGTTGTATTCAGATCTTATTTATCATTTCAAAGCCAGATGTCTTCAAGAGCCCCGCATCATATTGTGCCAATGATTTTTCAATCCTTGGCGTTTATACTTTATAAAGCGACCGAAATGAAACTCTTATACAGTTAAAGGACCAACTGTGTAATTTACCCAAAGTTCTAAGCATTTAAGTTAAGCCGAGTTACATAGGAGGTCTCAGCTATGACAATTAATACGGCTAAGAAGCTATACTACTAAAATATTATTTTTTTAACATTTTTGCTAAAGAGATATCTAAAATATTATTATTTTTCTATAAAAATGTTAATATTGGACGTCACTTAAATGTTTAAAATTTCTGATAAAGCGCTATCTAAAATATTATTTTTTCTACAAAAAATGTTAATATTAAGTTTTACCGAAAATTAGTTAGAAAAAAATAATATTTTTGATAAAAAAAATACTATTTTAAATAATATTTTACCGAAAATATTAAAAAAATAATAACATTTTCGATAAAATATTTTCTTAATGATAATATTGCCGTTGAGCAGAACTACTCGAGTTACATTTGAATTAATTTTTGAGCATTTGTTTAGTGGATGGACGTTGTCAGATAGTACGACAATACTTGTAATTGTTTAAGAGTTCAAATTAATAAATTCATTTTTTTTTACTATTAAAAGGTTCCTAAAAACTTGTCATTATAAAGGAGAAAGTCCTTATATATCTACAACTTATTTCATTTTCAAATTCAGTAAATAAAAAAATGTGGAAACAACATTCATCATAAAAAAAAATTAATTTATTTCGATTAATAAAACCCGTAAAACTCCAAAATGAGCTTTAAAAGAACATACAAGGATTAAACAAAAAGAGATGACACCTCATTGTTAGAATTCCCCCATTTTAATTATTTATTACACAACTCATCCGAAAATCTCATGTATTTTTTTTTGGATAATTCAAATTTATTACCCAAGGAAGCATAAATGCTACAAAAATCAATATATGATCACCTGGAATAATTACATTCAAAAAACAAAAATCTATCGGTTTAATCTATACCCCAAGAAATACAAAGTTTAGAATTAACATGGTCAAGTCTATTGATGTTTTTCCCCCTCAACTTTATACCTACTATATCTTTAATGCTTCTGAAGATGTCAGTTGGATTTCGAGAGCAAGCTTTGAAGATTCTACAGTTCCGTTTCTCCCACAGAACATAAACGTTGGCGTTCCAAGCGATTTTGAGGATAGTGGTTAAGAGTGACTTGCCTTTCCATGATTTACTTGCCCAAGTAACCATTTATTCCCAGGATCAAAATGTCTTTTTCAAACCATAAAGGTGAAGGGTATTCTCTCTTAATTGAGCAGTAAAATGGCAGTCGAAGAACAATGATTTCGATTTTCTTGCATATCGTTACAAAGAACACAAGTCCCAGAGAAAATGATTCACATGCGTTGTAATCGGTCTCTGGTGGGAAGCCTATCTAAGATTGCCATCCAACCTATTAAACTATGCTTGGGAAGATGCTGTGGGAACCAAATCAAAGTATGCCATATCATTTTGTCTCCCTTGTGCCTAATCTCTTGCCAATTTGTCTAATAGAATGGATTCCAGTTGACAGTAATGGAAGAGCTTCAGTTCTGAGCTTGAAAATTTTTCTAAGACTCCAGCTTGTGTTTGCATATACGTTCATAAGCCAAGTTTGTCATGTATTTCGTTTTACATTACTACTTGACTTGAATTTTTTTAGTTTTTATAAAATAGGAGGATGTAATTAATAATTAGCCCTCCCTATTGTAATTACTTCCCCGACCCTCATATTCGAATAAACCGTTGCCCTCATTTATTCGACCACAAGGCACAAGGATTCCCATATTAACAAAAATCCCTTTAGTTCAACTCTGGAAAAGCAATCGATAAACTGCCGCAAACTCCTTATCGAAAGATATTACACACTTGAGTAAACTCGAACCAACAAGCTTCTAGTTGTTGCAACATCAAACAATATCGACCGAATTAAGACTCAACTGGCAACTATAATGCATGAAATGAAGATTGGAGATCATATTTGTCATCTAGAATTATTTTTACTAAGAGAACAGCAACTAGAAACAGACGACCAATTCACACCAGGAAACAGTCAAAGACAGGAAAAATCACAATAACTTCAAAATGCTAGTCTAGCAAGAAAAAAACAGAGAATTACCAACCATTTTGGTATATCTCAAGTAACTGAAACAAAAATCTGACTTCCAACCAAACAGACAACAAAAGAACATCATCATCCTGCGTTCGCATTCGTTGTCGGTTCTGCTTGTAAATGACATAAGAATAAGCTACAAAGCCTAAACACGAAATGCATATAAAATTACATGATTAGACAAAGATGAGCCAGAAACCAGACCTTGTTCAAGAAAGCCAAAAGTTTTCCTAGTGTACAGAATACATGTTTGCAGTCTAGGTCTCAATAAAAATAGCCTCGGCAATTTGGTGATTCGCATAAGCACTTCTTTTTTCCACAATCGGCATTGTTACTTCCCGTCTCATCTGTGTGGGGTGGAGTACCATAATCATATGTCAGCTCTGTCATCGGAGGAATGTGTTTCTTCGTGAAGAAAGCGATATTGAGAAAAGCTTCATGATTTTGATCATACGTGATTGGCTGCCAGAAAACATTTGGAGAGCAACTATGATTCAAGAATCGAGCTACGTTTCCAATGTTCTTTGAACTTATGACTAGAGGAGATCGAATATCGAAAACTTCGCTGGTGTTAGAAATTCCCTCTCCTGCTGACTCTGTTTCGTGATTCCACCTGAATGATTCATACACTCGATTTGTATGAAAAACAAAATCATTGTTTTCACCATATTCCCCACTCTGCCCCTCAAAGTTTTCAATAGCTTCGCCTGCGTATACACAAAGAAATGTACCTGCACGAATAGGGTCCCATGAACGCAGACCCCAACCCCTATCTCTTGTCTTAAAAACTTCAAAGCGAACTCTAAAACCAGTCTGTGAAACTCTATTTTTGCAGTTACGATTGCATGGGCATGAGGAACCGCATTCATAAATCATAGGTTTTCGACACACTAGAATCCCACTGCCAATGTAAGGGAAATCACCACTGTTCTTTTGATTGCAGGAGCAGTTTGAATTTCCCGGTTGGCATGCATCACTGCAATTACATCCAACGGAAGGTTGCACTAATTTGGATGGTTTGGATATTTAACAGTGGAGACATATGTAAAATAAGCAGGCCCCTTTTCGTCATCAACCTCATTGACAAGTGTGACGGGGGTGCTTTCCGCACCTGAGGTGAGGTCCGGAAGAGTAAGCCCTTCCCTCGAAGATGGATCAGCTCTCCACTTCTGAATGGATTTCCATGTGGAAAAAGCACCATTCTGCCCAGAGATCCTTACTAATTTATTTTGAACATATTACAACCATTTTTACCCTTCTCTATCCATGACTCTTGGACCTTGAAAAGACCATCGTATACATACACCTTAGATGTTGTGGGGTAGGATCCTTGAAACCTCGAATGACTCTTACTTCATTGGCTCGGTGCAAGCTCCTTTCTAAAGCAAGATTTCCTCTCACAAGCTTCTGATCTGATGCTTCTTTATCGGCATTGGCGTTCCCACCTTGACCAGTGTATACCAAAACATCAGGATCTTCAGCATCATCCTCATACCCTCCGGATGAAACAATGCTTACAGCCACTCGTTCTCCCTCTATATCACTACCCTTCATTGGCATGGAGTCAATTCCAGCCATGGACTGAGCATGCACTCCCACTAAAATCAACTCCATTCGGAAGAAGTAGATGTCCCCAATTTCAACACCAGGAACAACCCCTATTCGCTTGCTTCCATTAGTCCGCACCCTTTTGTAGACAATATGTTGCCTGCTTTCAAGTTTGCACACTTAAAAACTTCAGAATGTGGTTCCCTTGAATCCTCCATTTGGCAAAGCTTTCTTCTAAGTGCATCAAACCTCATAAGCACATTTTCAACCAATTCCCTATTACCATCATCTTTTTCAGCTGCACTGATTCCAGGTTTAAAATTACTAAGGGCAGCTAATGCCAATTCCGATTCATTGCCCCTCTTCACTTTCTTTTTAACAGAACTCGACCCAGCTAATTTGCGTTTATTACTGCTATGCACATTTCTGTCATTAGAAGGCGGTAGTTCTGTGCTAAATGATCGAATCGGCACAGCAGTTGAACTAAAGGAATTTTGGTTAAGGACAGGTGTATATGGGGATCCTTGTGGTTGACTGAATGGGGGAAACGGTGAAAACCCAGACGGGAAGGTACCATTAGGAGGTGCAGTCGCGAAAGGAGGACCATTAATTGCCCCCGGGAATACAGGAAGCAAGGAACGAAGTGGCTTTACATCCAAAACTTCAGATTTATCCAATGAATTTCGCACAGCAGTGTTTCCAGCAAGCCCTCCTTCCATTACAAATAAAAAACCAAGCCTTTAACAGCCTATGTTCTCTCCTTTCTTCTTCTTCTTTAAAACCAGGATCAATTTTATCCACAACAAACAAAAATCAGGCCTTCCAACTACAAATATTCCCTTTTTTATCTTCAAAACTAGCAAAAAAGCCACTTCGTTTTTCTCCGCTCTTAGTTAATGACCTACATGAAACCAAATTACATAAGAACCTTTTAGAAAATTAACCAAAATAATTCATTTTCATTAAAACCCATATACAGGCATTTCATTTTTCGCCACCATTGAACATGAATAAAAGAAATAAACAGAAACACGAGAAAAGGAAAACAGGGAGAAAGAGATCTAGGGTTACTATCTCCCGTCCAAAGAAAACGGAGAAACTATAATGTTATAGAGAAACACAAAACGAAATTAATAAAAAAAAGTACATATGATTACCAGTTGGAAAGCGGACGAGCACCGGTTGCGGAATTGTTCGTTGTAAGGATTTTCTTTCTTTCCTTTTTTTCCTCTTTGAAATGAATTGGGCAGATCTAAAGGCAGTCAGTTTTGGTTTTCAACTTTATGTTCCTTAATATGGATGTGAAAGTAATTAAAGATTTTATAAGGGAAAACTACTCCAATAGTCAATAATATTTGAATAAGCTTTTGTTTTTACCACTAATGTTTCAAAAGTTACAAATTGGTTACTAACGTTATCGTCTATTACAAATTAGTCACTCGCCGTTAACAGGCATGACGGAAAACACACGTGGCCTGTTAACAACAGTTAATAGACTTACATAGATGGTATAATTACACAAATAGTTCATGTTATTTATATATTCGTTCAATTTGATTATTTTTTTAATAAATTAAAATATATTTATTTTTAATTCTTATAAATAATGATATATTTTAAAAAAGAAGAAATAAAAAATTTAATATTAGTTATAAAAACAAAAAATTAACTTTTTTTTTAAATTTTAGGGTAAATTAATAAAAACAAAAAAATTAACGTTTTTAATAAAATTAACATTTTTTGTTCCCCAAACTCTTTTATTTTTTTTTTAAATAAATACTAATACTAAAATCTTATTTGTGAAGAAATTTTTTTCACTCCGTGCATAAAAATTTTAAAATTAATTTTATTAAGTCTTACATTTTCTGAACAGTATTATAATTTAATTTGTCATTAAGTCTTTTAAATTAAATTTTATCCTAACATAAATCTTTTTGTCCATTCCCTAAACAACATGACAGGTAAATTGTTTTAAAATGCATGCAGATTCTTAATCAGATCATTAAACTTCTGAAGTTTGTATAGCCACATAGTGATGAAACTAGTTTTTTTAAAAGGCATTAATCAGATTCATCCAATGTTGCCTGAGTTAAGAGGGATAAAAATACCCCTCACTGCAAAATATAAGCATTTGCATATAAGGAGAAGGATCTTCTCAGTTTCCAGCTCTTTTTTACTATGGGTAGCTGTAGCCTGTATTACAGACCAAATATCTTTTATGATGGAGATTCAGAAATCTGTTCTTGAACAGATACTGGAGAATTAGGATGGAAAAAAAAAAGAGTTTGGAAATAACAACCTTTTCAACGAAATGATGCAACACTGTCAGCAAAGGTGCAAGAATTTCTTTTGCAATTAGTTCCAGCTGCGGCGATACTCAACTTTAGGATTCAAAAAGTACTGTCATAAGAAAGGAAAGAGAAATAACTTAAACTCAAAATATGTTACTTCAAGCTACCTTTGAGCTTATGCCACATTTACTTCAATAAAGAAACTCATGATAAGAAACCTTAAGCATAAAATTATATATGTACTAAATTTCCATAGTTTTGAGGAAAAAAAGTAATTGGAAAGGTCTAACAAGGGCATGAAGAACCGTAAGGGCATTGATGATAATCCATTCATGTTTGCACCATTGCCTATGACATTACTGCTTTGAATAGCAGATGGCAGCTCAGGCACAAGTTACGGCCAAGAATTATGCTTAACAAACTCCGCAAAGACAACAATTCGAAACTACCGAGGAGAAGACATTGATCATATGTTACTATAATTAATGTAAACATTGAATAGTAGTATCATCATAATAGTATAAAATTACAGAAACTCGATAGCGCTTCCACTAGAACTTTTAGAACCGACGCTTCGGCTTGAAGCAGAGTTCGCATCAGTTGGCCCTTGAACTCCTTGTAGATTTAATTTAAAAACCAACACTTCGATTTCTAATGCTTGTTTAGGGAATGGACAAAAAGATTTATGTTGTGATAAAATTTAATTTAAAAGATGTAATGATAAATTAAATTATAAGATTGTTCAGAAAATGTAATACTTAATAAAATTAATTTTAAAAAAAATTATGCATCGAGTGAAAAATATTTCTTCACAGACAAGATTTTAATATTAGTATTAATTTTGAAAAAAATTTAAAAAGTTTGGGGAAGAAAAAATGTTAATTTTATTAAAAAGGTTACTTTTTGTTTTTATAGTTTACCTAACATTATTTTTTATAACTAATTTTAAATTTTGATTCATTTTTTTAAAAATATATCATTATTTATAAGAATTAAAAAAATATTTTAATTTATTAAAACTATGATCAAATTGAAAGAATATAAATAACATAGACTATTTGTGTAATTATACCATCCAAGTAAGCCTGTTAACTGCTGTTAACATGCCACGTGTGTTTTTCATCACGTCTGTTAGCGGCGAGTGACCAATTTGTAACAAACGATGATCGATTTATAATTTTTGAAACATTAGTGGTGAAAACGAAAACTTACTCAAACATTAATGATCATTGAAGTAGTTTATCCTTTTATAAAATAAGGTTGGTCTAATTATTATTTTCATCCTTTTACTTTATAAAAATAAAAATTAATTCCTCTAATTTAATATGTTGGAAGTTTGTCTTCATACTTTATATAATATTACAAGTTAATTCAAATTTCAGTAAATACATAAATTTAAGATATAATATCAAAATTAGTATCCAACATTTATTATAATAATTATTTTAAATTTTTTAAATTTTTTATATTATATATATATATATATATATTAATTCACAAACAACCAATTGGTCTAGTGAGATTAGACACTAGATCCTTTAAGCAAGTTAAGATGTTATAATTAGGGGTGTACAAAAAAATCCGATCCGATTGATCCAATCCAAAAATTCGGATATCCGATCCGTTTTTCAATTTTTGGATAGTTCAGATCGGGTATCCGAATTTTTTTCTGGATTTTCGGATCGGATACGGATTGATAAAAAATCAGATTCGGATTATCCGAAAACCCGAAAATAATTTGGGCTATTTTAATATGTTTCAAACCCATGGCTGTTAATTTGGGCTATAAGCATTCTTTTAAACCCAAACCCAAAGAAATACGAGTATTATTAGCGCCAAAGTAGTAAGTCTCTTTTTTCTTTAATTTTTCCTTTCTCTTTCTCTAATCAAGTTTCTTTTACGATTTCTTCCGACTCTTTCAAGTTGAAAATTTTGGCTAGAAATTCTTCGCCTTTCTCTCGGTCGCCGCCTCTAAAGGTAAAATTTTCACTTTTTTTTGTTGTTGTTGTTGAACTAACTTTTTATTCATTAGAAATCATTTATTTATTTTTATTCTCTCCTTCATCTATTCGACTATTCTCTAAATAGGGTTTATGAAATTGCTTCAAATTCCTTTTCCCAGGGCAACTCTTTTGTAGTGTTTCGGTGTCACTCTATCTTCCCATCTGTTCTATATATCTCAGAATTTTCAGGGACCAGGATTTGGAATTTTTACTTGTTATTTAATTCCAGTGGATTTCTTATATATATAATTTAAGTGAATTGACAATAAAGATATTAGCTTTAAGAAAAATAGTTCGCAAAGAATTGCAATTTTCTTCTTACTGGACAATTCCGGTTTAAGAATTTTTTAGCAATATGGTTCAAGAGCTAAACAATGGATTTAGGCGGCTGTTTGGGTCGCGGCTTCTCAGTTGCCGACACGATTTGCGACTCCATAGGAGGGGGAGGAGCAGGTTTTATGTTGGATTGGTAAGAATTTGATTGCGCAATGGGGAAATAGGCGGAGCTGGACGAGAAATCCATACAAAGATATGGTGCATATTAAAAATGCAACAGAATTTTGTAGCAAACAATGGAAATGTATAGTATGCCTGCAAAGAAGCACTCACGGAAAAAACAAGGGTTAGATTGTTAACTAAAATCTGCTTAAATATTTGACTAGAGTTAGAATTTGTGCCTAACATTTACATGACAACAGGCAAGAGAACTCAAGCTGTGGAAAATGGAAGAAGAAAGGAGATTTGAAGAGGCACGGCTTGCCAAGGAAACTGCGTAAACGATAGCCGAACAGGAGAAAGCTAAGTCGAAAGCAGCGATGGAAGTGGCCGAAGCGGCTCGGAGAATTGCGGAACTTGAATCACAGAAAAGAATGAAAGCAGATATGAAAGCGCTCAAGGAACAAGAGGAAAAGAGCAAGGCACTTGATGCACTAGCGCAAACAGATTTTAGGTACAGAAAGTACACAATGAAGTATGGATTTATGGATTCTAGCTTATATTTTAATATCATCCTCTAGTTTCACCGTATTTTTACTAAATTGGGAAATCATAAGAGTTATTAAGTGTTTCTTATTTAATTAATGCTTTTATTATGTTGATTTTTTTTTTTGCAAAGAAAAAAAATCGGATTCGGATCTGGATATTCGGATATCCAATTTTTTCGGATCGGATACGGATCATTACTTTAGGTATCCGAAATTTCGGATCGGATAATATCCGATATTCGATAATACACACCCCTAGTTCTAACACTGATGTTTGTGAATGAAGCAAACTTAGTTAGGAGTTACGCTCACCTCTACAATAGCCGATAGGATTAGTTGATCAATATATTAATATATCAAATATCAATGATTAAATAAAAAAATACTTTGATTCTAATATTTTATCTTAAGATAAAAAATTGTCTATTATTTATTAAATTATCATTTTAAAATTTATTTTGCTATAGTAATATGTTTTTTAATAGATTTGTAACCTAAAATATTTTATTTTAATGTTGATATATATATGTAGTTTGTCTTATAAATAGAGCAGAAAAAAATGAGAAAAAAAACCCTCTTAGAACTGGAATAACTTTTAGAAAAACTTCACAGCTTCGTTTCGACAGGTAATCATCTATTTTATTTAGGTTAATTTGAAATGTAATCATTTCTCTCTTTTTTCCTTGTATGCAACATAACCCTAATCTCTTTGTGTCTATTTTCACTGTGTGTAGAGATTATTTCTAATATATCATAAGTTTTCCAAGTGTAAATGCATAAATTATGAAAATGAAGTCTGATGATATTTCTTATACTGGTACAAGTCATAAATTTCATATGGTTGAAGTTTCTCCTTATTTGGCGCTATTTTCGGTTTTGGTCCCTGGTATGTTCACTTTAAGGATGATGTTTACTACTTTTTCCCCTTTTATGCCTCCTTGTTGTGTTCCATCTTTGTTGGTTTAATCATTGGTTCACGTCACTCCGTTTAGTAATAACTTGTGCCAATACTGTAGCTATGGTGTTTTTACCCATATGGAGAAATTCATTGAAACTTTCATAATTGTAGATTGTTGGAATTGAGGCTCTAGAAAACATGCCAAAGTGTGTCAATAATTATCATAACTTGGAAAGCTTTTGGAAAAATTGGCATGTGTCCTTCGACAAATGGATTGTGAGGTTTTTCATTTGTGACTCTTTTCTCTACATCTCACTGTTATGAATTTTTACATTTGACATGACATTGGAAGGAGGAAAAGAGTGCCTTAAAAATTTTATTGCATAAAAATCAAGTACAATAAGATCACACTACCACCCAAAAATAATGGCAGCCCACTCAACACAATGTAAAACAACACTACCTACAAGAAAATGTTTATGCCCTACAACAAAACTACCTCATAGGTTAAACAAACAATTACAAGCAAATATCATTCCCTAATGTTCCCGATATAACAATAATAGAAAAACAACAACCTAATTACCTATTTAATTCCACATCAATTAACCAATCCCTTGATTGACAAATTCATTTGCTTCACAATTAGCTACTCTCGCCACATGACGGACAATTACCCCTTTATTGACCACAATGTCTGCAATATCTTTAACAATGAATAGAAACATTGGAGTGGAGCTAGCTGGATTTTTTATCCATTCCACTTCCACCGCACTATCGGACTCCAAAATAAGCCTTCGATTCACCGATAAATCTGAATCCAGGAACAGATTCAAACCTCTCCTCACTGCCATCAATTCTGCCATAATAGGAGGACCAAATCCTACTTTTTATGAGAACGAACCCAACATCACTCCTGTCTCATCTCTGATAAGCCCACCAATTCCTTATTTTGACCACCACCTGTCCACAGCACCATCTACATTCACTTTAACAAAACCAATAGGAGGAGGAGACCAACTAACTACCTTTTTGTGATATTTTTTTCATCTAACATAACACGATCAGGTAGCACCAAATCACCCACAAGACTATCAAAAGAGACCATCAATTTAGGAAACTTTGAAGAAAACCATGATGCCACTTTGTACCTTGATATAAAAGATAATAAAGTGCAATCTAATTTCCCATTTTTAAAAATAATATCATTCCTCATTTTCCAAATTGACCACAAAACCGCACCTGGGATGAAGGCCCAAACGTAAGAGCGTGGCACAAGGTCAAACCAAACTGAAAATAAGGTTGCAGGGCACTCTGGAATTGCAAAGGAAACCTCCCATCGGCACAAAAAGCTAACCCATAACCCCCAAGACACTTTGCAAGAAAAGAATAGATGAGAAACTGTTTCTTGAACCAACCCACAGAACGGACAATAAGGATCTCTTATACCTTGCACCCCACGTTTTATTAGTTCTACCTTGACCGCAACCTTCTTGTGCTCCACTTGTCAAATAAAATATTCAATCCTAGGAGGAGCTAAACTGACCCATACATTTCTTTCCCAGGGAAAACTTTTGAACGATGTTCCAAGAAAAATTTCAAGACAAGATTTCACTGAAAACCTCCCATCTCCTTCTCCCGCCCATACAAGACTATCATCCATCGATGACGACGGATTTAAATTATACAACAATGCCATAAGCTCATTCCATTACATCAACTCTCAATCGACAAGATTTCTCCTCATGGCAATATCCCAGAAACAGCCTGACGAATTAATTTTCCTAAAATCAGCAATCATCATGTGAACAAGCGAGGAAAGCATACCCTCAATGAAACTTCGTCCAACCAAGCATCATGCCAGAATCTTAATAAGTCCCTATTGCCCGCCTTCAGCAGAAAGTTACTTCGCAAACATTCCCCAAACTCGTCATCGGAACAACAATTCTTCACAACCTCTTTCCATATCCAAGAAGCTTTGTAAGAGGCCGAACTATCCACCCTCATAGTATTCATATTAATATTGTTTTTGCAACAAATTATCCTTTTCCACCAAGAGTTTTTCTCGTTGGCAAACTTCCAGGTCCATTTTCCTAATAAAGCTCTATTCATAAGTTCAAGATTTGGAACCTCAATCCCTCCCAACGCCTTAGGCTTGCAGGCAATCTCCTAATTAACCCAATGAATTTTGTTTTTAATACTAAACTTCCCCCAAAGAAAATTTGACATAATTGAGTTAAGCCTCTTCAGAACACACCTCGGTAGTCTAAAAATCAACATGAAGTATATTGGTAAAGAGCAAACGACCGACTTAATCAACACCACTCTACCAGCGATAGATATGGAGGCAAACTTCTACCCGGTCAATTTTTTGTAGAACTTTTGAATAATCGAATCCCATAAAGAAACTTAGTTTTTCTTCGGGCCAAGAGGAAGCCCCAAGTATTCCGTTTGAAAAGAACCCACTGTGCACCCTATTGCAGCAGCCCACTCAGAAATAATCTCGTCATTCACGTTGATACCGAATAACCTACTCTTTGAAAGATTAATCTTCAATCCTAACATCAACTCAAAAATAATAAGAACCCTTCTCACATTTTTCAATTCCCCAATAGACGCATTACAAAAAATTAACAAATCATCTGCGAATTGAAGATGAGAGAGCTCAAAAGAATCTCTCGGACTCCCAATCTCAAAACCTGTAAACAAGCCTAACCTCACAGCTTTCGATAGCATCAAGCTCAAAATTTCGGCAACCAAATTGAAAAGGAGCTGGGAAAGAAAGCAATCCCGACGAAGACCCCTTGCAATCCGAAATTCATCCGAAGGAGAACCATTCACCAGCACCGAAATAGAAGCTGTAGAAACACACATTTTCATCCAAGATCTCCATCTCTGACCAAACCTCATATAATCCACTAATTTTAATAGCAAATTCCAATCGATTGAGTCATACGCTCTTCTGAAGTCAACCTTAAATGCTACGCCTGGAAGACATTTCCTCCTCCAACAGTCGATCCCCTCATTCGCGATAAAGGAACAATTTGTGATTTGCCGACCCGAGATGAAAGCAAATTGGGAAGGGCCAACTACTGCATCTCACATTGACTTAATCTTCTGGATAACACCTTTGATAAGATCTTATATAGTCCACCCACAAGGCTTATTGGTCTAAAATCCTTGACGTTTTCCGAAATCGATTTTTTCAGGATTAAAGTAATGAATGAATGATTTACCCATTTATCCCAACTTTTCCCTGCAAAGAAATCAGGGAAAAAAACTTCATGATGTCCTCTTTTAATTCATGCCTAAACTTTTTGAAGAACCCCATTGTCACTCCGTCCGGTCCCAGAGCGTCCCGGAGCCTTGTTGCTATCCGATGATGAAATTGCATCCCAAACTTCTTCCACTGAGAAGGGTCTCTGTAAAACGAATTCTGATCCGCTGAAATCCTGGAGAAATTAAACTCCATCGCCTCCACCTCCATTGTAGGGTTATTATTGAACAATTCTTTTAAATAAGTAACCACGTTTGCTTAATCTCATCAAAATCTGACATCAAATGTCCCCCCATTTTCAGCACTTTAATATCATTCACCCTTCCTTGTTTGCTGCACATATATGGAAAAATCTAGTGTTGCGATCACCCTCCAAGCACCACTTAACACTAGATTTCTGGGACCACACTGCCTCTTCTTTTGTATAGATGCCAAAGCTTCCTTCTAGCCGGACCCAAGATCCATAGAAATAGTAGTGGAACCTTGTTGAATTTGCAGCTCCGATTCGTGAATTATTTTCCAACTCCACAATTGATCGTTGCATACTGCTGAAACTGACTTTAGACCATTCATTACTGGTTTGGAACTTTTAAGAATACTATAAATTTCTTTCCTTCTACTACCCAGCCTTGATCTGGAATTCCTCAACCATTCAATCCTTGAACCCATCTTCGTCCAGCATGTAATTGAACAATCTGAAAGGTTTCGACCTTCAATCCAGGCCCTTACTTTCCAAACTAATTGTATTGTGTTCCGATAATGATCTCATGAGCAAAATCTGATTCACAGATGAGAACACCGATAATAAGTTAAAATCTACTAGAAACTTGTCCAATCTAACAAATGTTGGACAATCCCTATTATTGCTCTAAGTAAAGATACCGCCTGACATAGGGAGATCATTCAGGAGCCTTTGTACAAACTCATTAAAGATTATCATCGAGAACCTGTTATAACCTCTCCCTATTCTTCTTTCTGAGAGGTATGCATTAAAATATCCTCCCAAATAAATATGACCTTCCAATTGCCACACAAAGCCTAACAACGCCTCAAAAAAGATTTTTTTCCATATTAACAGATGGGCCATAAACGTTAATAAACCAACAAGAAATAGACATTTCTTTTAGCTTACCTTTAACTGCAATAAACCTGTCCTGTACATATTCAGTCTCCAGCTCTAATTTACTTTCATCCCAAATTGTTAACAATCCTCCTGATGATATGACTGCCAGAGATTTTACAAACTCGTTCAAAAGATTTCCACCCAACCTCCTCCTCAAGGTAGGAGTGATACTCTCCAACTTCGTTTCTTGTATGAATATTAACGTTGGCCTCTTCCCTACGATGACATTCCTCACAGCCCTAGACTTTTCTTTCCTGCCCAACCCCTGCACATTATACGTTATCATACTAAAACTTGACATAAGAAGAAAAGAAAAAACACCCACTTGCCATAGAACATCAGAGTCAATTCGCCATCGTCTTTTCCTCAAACACTGCCTTCACCTTTTCCATGAAAGCTTTTTTCCTCCTCGGAACGTAACACCCATCAAATTGTATACTTCCCAACTAGCCCGTGCTTCTTCCTCCTCATCCGAACAATGCCCTAAAGACTTTGCTTTTTCCTTCATTTTCTCTCTCGAATTGCTCCTTCCCCTGTTTCTACTATATACTCTCTTGTAGGATTTATCTCCGATTTGTGCTTGACGCCTTCCTTCTCGAGCGACCACGATTTGGAGGAGAGCCCAATAACTTGAATTTCTTGCGATCTTCAAGCTGAGTCGAACCTTTTTCAATGTATCCTGGAGCATTCCGCAAGTTTGAAGTATTTTTTAGGAAAATTACGTCTGATAGACCCAATCTCTATCTCGAATAGGCTATTCTCCTTATCTGAACCCGAGTTTCTGCATCTTTAGGATTTCACAATTGTCCTGCTTAGTAATATCCACCTCCAATGAATTTAGATTTCTTGAAACCAATTCCTCAATAATTCCGATAGCAGAAGCAAGGACGTTACTTGTCAGTAAATCTGGATCACACGGAACCGAACTCGCTTTGTTCATCCAACCTCTTGGGAAACATCGTCCCTCAAAATCCTCTCAACATCGATTTCGTCATTCTTTACCTCTGAATATCCATAAGTCGTCAGCTCAACTTGGACTTTTATCACGTATACCCTACCATTGGTGTTTATTGAAATTGACTCCGGGAGATCAAACGGACTACCCACCCTAATCATCATCTTCGCTGTTATACAGTCCAACTTCATCAAAGTTTTCTTTCTAGTCTCTACTAACTCCCCCTCCCACCGTGAGGCTAAGCTTGAAAAGAATACCTCATTCCAACAATTAGAGAAACTCCGATTAACGAAACTTCACAAAAGGCCAAAGGGCCTCCCCCTTCCGATAATACTGGTCTCAACCAGTTAAACCAGTAGTTAAGCTCCAAGGTTTTTTCTCTCAGGGCCTTCAACTTGTCCTCCTCCGACACATAAGAAACTAGGCAGGAGTTCCTTGCGTACCCCCATTTCACAACATTAGTAACAATACCTTCACTGTACAATGCTCTCTGTATTAATTCCACGTCGTACGATTGCTTATGAATACATGTCATCGACCTCCTTAACCATTTTCTCTCCTCCACCGGAATAAAAACATTATAAGGCTTTTTTGCAGCTCCATCTCCCCTCATTTGCTTGTTCGACACCAAAACCTCTTTGTACGATCTATCGTCCCTGAAACTTCCAGATTACTCTCGTACCTTCCTCGCATTTCTTACTGCGCCACCACCGGTCTTCTCTGTAATCTCCTGAACGTTTTTCTTAACCTCTATCGCTTTCCTAATTCTCTGATATTTGGCGACCCCCACAGAAACTCTTAAACCATCAATCCAGGTACCATTGGTTTTCTCAATGGCATTCCTCATACCATTTTCAGTTGCAAACTGGACTAATGCAAATGTAGAAATTTTATATCTTGGTTTATGCAAGACATTTCGGAATAAATATCCCAACAACAATACCATGACACAAGAACAAATCCCTTAATTCTCTTCTAGTCACTCTCTTGGAAAGGTTGTTGACAAAGATTGTCCATTCTTCACGAGAGGAAGAACGAGTTTTCATATGCCATACCGCTCTTTCTCTATTCTGCTCACTCATTAAAATTCAGCAACCAAAACTTAGACAAATGCACCACCCACGGAACAATCACCAGCAAAGTTATCCACTATTATCGCAAACTTCATTGTAACACTCCTAACCCGTACCCGACCCGGATACGAATCTGAGGTGTCACATTGACTTTTCAAAGCACTTACATTTATAAAAACCATAGTAATCACATATATTTTTTCTTCTATCACATTTCACATGTGCATATAATCATACATATCATATTCTATGACACAAGTATTTAAATACATTCATATGAGTCATATGACATGTAATGAATCATATGTAAATATATATGACTTATGCATATTTAATAAAGACTATAATGTATGCATGTTCATAACTATTATACTATGAAATTAATCTAGGAAATTGACTTATCGTAAGTCTTATTTCCATTAAATTATACCTATATTATGCACTCACCTTAGCCTTGCTTGCTTTGATTTGAACCTAATTCTTCGATTGTTCTGGAACGGGATTACGTTTTATCTACACAATAATACATGGATCCATATTAGTATTCTAATTGATATACTCTAATTGTTCACTCCTTAGACTAAAAGAAAGGTTGATTACATTTTTTATTTAAGGTAGGCATCGATACACTCTGTAGTGCATCGGTACATTCCTTAACATGTGTATCGATACACTAACTATATCGATACACAAATTACATTCGATGTTTTCATTTTAAGGGATGCATCGATACACTTCCTGTGCATCGATACACACTGAATAATTTCTGAAAATTTACCCTTGATGCATCAATACATGTTGAATGTGTACTGATGCACACTAGCATAGAATTCCAATTTACGCACGAAAATTACTTCATTCTAACTTAATTGTGCCCAACTTACATACACCTACTTAAACCACTTCATACTCATTCAACACCTCTTTAACTTCCAACTCTCATCCTCCATATAAAATTCAAGAATTATACCACATTTTCTACTGGTTCTGAATGCAATTCTAACACTTCATATCTTTTAATTTCACTAATGACAAGTCAAATTTAGGCTTGAAATGTACTTAATACTCTCCTATCGGGATTTCACTTTTCTACTTCCTTTCTTTAATCCTTCCTATACCCCTCATTTTGTTGTTTTAAAATAAATTAAGCTTTCTTAAGCTTAATTATCGTCTAATGGTCATAAATCAACCTTAAATTCATCAAGAAATCAACTAACAAGAGATCTCACATTTAACTTGATTTTCACGTATGAATTAAGATGAGGAAGAGAAGAACTCTGAAAACTTGTTTTTGATTTTCTTCACTTTCACGTGAGTTAATTTAATACCATAACCCAAAAAGTATCTTATCATTAAATGACCTTTGTGGCCTTCTATTATTCTTTGTTTATAATTTAATCCTATAAAACATTTTTCATATAAGTATTTAAACTATTAATTATTCAATTTTAATCACTAAATTATGAAATTTAAGAATTTAATCCCTAACCCGATATTGAGAATTTAACATTCCTAGTGCATACCGAGAAAATATATAGAAAAAGAGACGAAGCAGCAAAAGATGTATCGTTCGTTGAAGGAAAGAACCACCTCGAAAGATGAAGCCTAAATCAGAAAAGAAGATGTTGAAGGATGCAATCCAATGCAAATGGAAGTTGAAGTAGACAGACAGATTGAGAGCAAAGGTCGGAGAATCTGTAGCACCCACAACAGTGTCAAAGAACCCAGTAACGTCGGAACAACTAGATCGACGCAAAACAACGGCTGAACAGTAGAGTTTCTGGTAATGTCGGAACAGTTCAATACGAATTCCCGGAGAACAGCAACGAATCTCAACTCCAGGTTAGGGGGTTTTGGTCGCCAAAAGACGCATAGTTTGGTGGTGAGGCGGTGTCGAACACCAACGGCGGTTGACAGCGAAAATCGGCAGTGAACAAAGTGAAGATCTGCGCCGATTGAAAAACTTTATCGCAAATCTAAGTCCAGATTTGGAATCTCCGTAAGCAGGCGATCTTCCCTGAGAAAACGGCGTCGAACGGAGATCGGAGTGCGGTGACGGACGGCGGAGGACGGTGGACGACGAACAGTGACGGAGGACAATGAACGGTGGATAAGTTGGCTTATTTTGCAGTCTTAGTTAATTGTTAATGATGAGGATGGGTAGATAGAATGCGGGGACTTGAGAATTAGTTAATATCAAGCCAGAACTTTACTTACAGTATAATATAACTTTTAGGTACTTGTATATTCCACTTGTTGGGTCTCATAGAAAGCTACTCAACATATGGGTTATATTCACATTTGTTGCTGTATGGCATGATTTAGAATGGTATCTCTAACTACTGGGTAGTTCTTTTCTTTGTTCTGTACTAGTATACTATTCCTTATGTAACTGCTTATTGCTTTTGGTCATAGGAAACTTCTTTCATGGGCATGGCTAACATGTTTATTCTTCGTTCCTGAATTGTTGGTGAAATCAGCTGCAAATTCGTTCCAGGTTAAGTCTATGTTCTCTACTAATTAGTATTTTTGCATGACCCTTTATAACTTTTTGAACCTTGTTAGTTAGCCTTAAGGCACCTTGATCTGGCTAATATCATTGTCGGGAAGTAATCCTTTGCTGCGAATGCTGACCTCTCATTGTGCATGCAAGTGAAAAAGAGGTTGTATAAGGCATAAGTGGCTTTAATCTTGTGGGTTTTCTGCTGTTGTAGCCTGTAACCAGGTCTTGGTGTATATTTAAAATATGGTTCAACCAGAAGACCATGGGATCCCTTTTTAGAACTAAATAATGAAAATGATAGAAGTGTATATACTGTTTGATTGTGTAAGTTTTACATGTATTTGGGTTGGTATATTGCTTAATTTGGTCAGACTGAAGGAACAAACTTCAGCAACACTTGTATTTCTGCACCCATGGGCGATGGGCCATGGTAATATGCATGGGAAGTGTACTGATTAACTTTATCACCCTCGTATACATGTACATAATGCCATATGTAAATTTTGTAGATGAGGCTAATGGCTAAACCATTTTTCCTGCATTTATGCAAGCATTATAGAGTTTTTAGGATTTGTTCAATCTCTTGTATAGATCCTAGATCCAATGAGGTATTGAGATGGCGCCCCTATATTTGAGGATTGCTGTTATAAGTAAGGCAGTGATAATTTTCTTCTTTTCTAATAAGTTTCATGATATCTTCGTTAAATTTCCAATGCATTTTTCCCAGGCAAAGGGTGCTTTGGAAGGATTCATTTTTCGTGAGCTTAGAGCAGCTGGTGGTGCTATCATAATCACTTGTCTCATGGTCAGTTTTATTGGGGTCTGCGATCATGGGACCCTATTCGTGCCGGTTCTTTTATTTGTGAATACGCAGGTGAAGTTATTGACAACACTGATGCAAAGCTGGATGGGGGAGATGACGAAAGCAACGAGTATGCTTTTCATACAAATAGAGTCTATGAATCCTTCAAGTGGAATTATGAAGCCGAGTTAGTAGGAGAAGGAAGTACCAACACTTCCGAAGATCATGATATTCCATCTCCCCTAATCATAAGTTCAAAGAACAGTGGAAATGTAGCTCGGTTCATGAATCACAGTTGCTCTTCAAATGTTTTCTGGCAGCCAATCATGTATGGACATAGCAATGAGGTTCTCCATTTTGCTTTATTTGCTAAGAGGCACATCCCTCCCATGACAGAGCTGACATATGATTACGGCATTCCGCGCTCCGATGAGAAGGACTGTAACAACGTGGACTATGGAAAAAAGAAATGCTTATGTGGATGGCGAAATGCCGAGGTTATTTTTATTGAAGACAAGCGAAACTTTTGGCGTTTTGAACGGAGTCTCGGACCTCTATCATCTTTTTGTAGAATCAAGTGTATTTCCATTTTTGTGTTCACAGGCTGTTGTAGGGTTAATCTTATGCCATTACATGCAGAATTGACAAGTTATAGAAAGTTAGAAACCATACGTGCGATGATTTTCCGCAGGTTAGCAGGAGTTACTAGAGAAACGGCAGAATGCTTGGTATTTCACTTAATTCCCCCCCCCCTTTGAAAATCACTTTTTAGCAGTTGTTCTTTTGCCTGTCCTTGACTCTTTGCCTATGAATCGGTTGTTTGATTGTGTGGTTAAATATATGTTAATGTGACCTTATTTTAATGGAAAAAGGTTACAAGAATTCGCTCATTCAATCAATATAATGAACTAAATGTGTTTTTTAGTTAATATTTAGACACCTCTTAATAACTGTTTATAAGAATCAAGGGGATCTGTATTTTGCTTTGTCATCTTAATAAATTAATTAATGCCTATTTCCTATGACGGAAGTTAATATTTTTGCTGATATATGTTTCTTTCATTTTTTTTTTGAGTTTTGATTTTTAATTTTGGATTTAAATGAATATTTTTATACAAGGAACATATTAAATTATTATATTATAGCGTTAGATATATGGTATTATAAAGTGGTTGTCTAAATAGGTAGTCTATGATTAATGGAAGTGGAGTGTTAGAAGAATTATAGTTCATGTCCAAGTAAGCGATTGATAAAAACTTTTGTCAAAATAATTATTAAATTTTATATTTTATTATGATATTACGAGGACTATAAACATTTTAATACAGTGAAGTGATATCGAACTACTCTCGTCCCCTCACCGCTGCTCCGTCCCAGTTTCATCTTTCTCTTCCTCCTCCTGCTCCGTTCCATGATCCAGGTTTCCGATAGAGCTGTAAATTGAAAGGTAATATGCGAAACCCTAAACTTAATTTGAACATCGATTTCTATTTGATATGTGATATTTAACATTCTTAAATCTGGCAACAGAACTGCGGAAAAACAGAAGGAAAAAAAACCTCTTCGAACTGGAATCACTTTTACAAAAACTTCAAAGCTTCGTTTCGACAGGTAATCGTCTCTTTTCTTTAGGTTAATTTGAAATATAATCATTTATTTCTTTTTCCTTGTATGCAACATAACCCTAATCTCTGTGTCTATTTGCACTGTGTGTAGAGATTATTTCTAATATATATGTTACTTTTTCTTTCCTACATAGCAAAGTCATGGGTAGAAGAAAATGAAATGAGTATCGATTGTTTCAGAAAAAAAGTATTTTTTTGTTCTGAAAAATTTAGCTTTTGTATAATTTGGTTTCATGTAGGCCATTGTTTTGGGCTTAAACAAGTAAGGATGGAGAAAAATGAAGTGGGTATTTCCTGGTTTTGAAGGAACAAGTCTGAACTTTGTGTAATTTGGTTCACTGGATCTCTGGTTTGTGCGTAAACTGAAGTGGATATCTCTGGGTTTTGTGCAAAGAGAAAATTTTGGTTGAAAAAGGCTTCAAATTTTGTTTGTAATGGAAGAAGGGACGGGTATAAACACTGTTCTACCGAACTTAGGTGATAAATCTAGGGTTTTGGATATAAAACCGCTACGGTTTTTGGTTCCCCAGTTCCCAGATGCATCTAACGGTCCGCCTTTCTTTTGTGCACCTCCTAATGGCCCTTTTCCGTATGGATTTTCGCCCTTTCCCTCCTTTAGTGGACCACGAGGATCCCAGTTAACACCTGGTCTTAACCAACACGAGTTCTGTTCAACTGCTGTGCCAATTCGGTCATTTAGAGCGGAACCAATAGATTCTAATGGCCAAAATGTGCATAAAGAGAAACCATCTGAGTCGAGTTCTATTAAAAAGAAAGCGAAGAAGAGGAAAGTTTTTGAGTTTGCTTTCGTTACTCCTACTGATTTCAATCCTGGAATTAGTTTATCTGAGCGTGATGACGGTAACAGGGAATTGGTTGAAAATGTGCTTTCGAGGTTTGATGCGCTTAGGAGAAAGCTTAGCCAAATGGAGGATGCTACTCAACCTCATTCTGGGATTATTAAACGCTCGGTCTTAAAAGCTACCAACATAATGATGAGCAAAGGGGTGCGGACTAATGCGATTAAGAGAATCGGGGTCGTTCCTGGTGTTGAAATTGGGGACATTTTCTTCTTCCGGTTGGAGTTGTGCTTGGTGGGGTTGCATGCTCAGTCCATGGCTGGGATTGACCCCATGCCTATGAAGGGTGATATAGAGGGGGAGCGAGTGGCTGTGAGCATCGTTTCAGCTGGAGGGTATGATGATGATGTCGAAGATCCTGATGTTTTGGTATACACCGGTCATGGTGGGAATGCCAGTGGTGATAAAGGAGCATCTGATCAGAAGCTTGTGAGGGGCAATCTTGCTTTGGAAAGGAGCTTGCACCGAGCAATGAAGTAAGAGTCATTCGAGGTTTTCAGGATTCTGCCCACCAAGCGTCTAAGGTCTACGTTTATGATGGGATTTACAAAGTCCAAGAGTCGTGGATGGAGAAGGGGAAATCAGGCTGTAATATGTTCAAGTATAAACTGGTAAGGATCCGGGCAAAAAGGTGCTTTTGCATCTTGGAAAATGATTCAGAAATGGAAGGAAGGTCTGTCTCCAAGGGATGGACTTATTCTTCCTGACCTCACTTCTGGTGCGGAAAGCATACCTGTATCACTCGTGAACGAGGTTGACGATGAAAAGGGGCCCGCTCATTTCAAGTATTTGTCTACTATCAAATATCCAAAATCATTCAAATTACTGCAACCTTCTTTTGGCTGCAATTGTTGTGATGTGTGCCAACCAGGAAATTCAAACTGCACCTGCTTTAAGAAAAATGGAGGTGATTTACCTTACACTTCCTACGGTATTCTAGTGTGCCGAAAACCCATGATATATGAATGTGGTTCCTCGTGCCCGTGCCTTCGTAACTGCAAAAATAGAGTTACACAGACTGGTTTTAAGGTTCATTTTGAAGTTTTTAAGACAAGAGATACGGGTTGGGGTCTGCGATCATGGGACCCTATTCGTGCCGGTTCTTTTATTTGTGAATATGCAGGTGAAGTTATTGACAACACTGATGCAAAGCCGGATGGGGGAGATGACGAAAGCAACGAGTATGCTTTTCATACAAATAGAGTCTATGAATCCTTCAAGTGGAATTATGAAGCCGAGTTAGTAGGAGAAGGAAGTACCAATACTTCCGAAGATCATGATATTCCATCTCCCCTAATCATAAGTTCAAAGAACAGTGGAAATGTAGCTCGGTTCATGAATCACAGTTGCTCTTCAAATGTTTTCTGGCAGCCAATCATGTATGGACATAACAATGAGGTTCTCCATATTGCTTTCTTTGCTAAGAGGCACATCCCTCCCATGACAGAGCTGACATATGATTACGGCATTCCGCGCTCCGATGAGAAGGAAAGTAACGCGGACTATGGAAAAAAGAAATGCTTATGTGGATCGGCGAAATGCCGAGGTTATTTTTATTGAAGACAAGCGAAACTTTTGGCGTTTTGAACGGAGTCTCGGACCTCTATCATCTTTTTGTAGAATCAAGTGTATTTCCATTTTTTTGTTCACAGGCTGTTCTAGAGTTAATCTTATGCCATCACATGCAGAATTGACAAGTTATAGAAAGTTAGAAACCGTATGTGGGATGATTTTCCGTAGGTTAGCAGGAGTTACTAGAGAAACTCCAGAGCTTGGTATTTCACTTAATTTCCCATCCCACCTCCTGAAAATCATATTTTAGCAGTTCTTTTACCTGTCCTTGACTCTTAGCCTATGAATCGTTAGTTTGATTGTGTGGTTAAATATATGTTAATGTGACCTTATTTTAATGGAAAATGGTTACAAGAATTCGCTCATTCAATCAATCTAATGAACTAAATGTGCTTTTTAGTTAATATTTAGACACTTTTTAATAATTCTTTATAAGAATCAAGGGATCCGTATTTTGCTTTGTCATCTTAATAAATTAATTAATGCCTATTTCCTATGACGGAAGTTAATATTTTTGCTGATATATGTTTCTTTCATTTAATTTTTCGAGTTTTGATTTTTAATTTTGGATTTAAATGAATATTTTTATACAAGGAACATATTAAATTATTATATTATAGCGTTAGATATATGGTAATGAGTAATGCCATTGGTGACAACAATTAATTAAATCTACCATTTAAAGATTTGATATAGAAAAAAATAAGAAAAATCAAGTATTACATCTTGAAGTAATTTTTTATCACGTGATGTACTTAAAGATTATAGAGGAATCAACTATTATTAAATTTTATTATATTCTTAATTACTTTTGTCAAAATAATTATTAAATTTTATATTTTATTATGATATTACGAGGACTATAAACATTTTAATACAGTGAAGTGATATCGAACTACTCTCGTCCCCTCACCGCCGCTCCGTCCCAGTTTCTTCTTTCTCTTCCTCCTCCTGCTCCGTTCCATGATCCAGGTTTCCGATAGAGCTGTAAATTGGAAGGTAATATATGAAACCCTAAACTTAATTTGAACATCGATTTCTACTTGATTTGTGATATTTAACATTCTTAAAATTGGGCGAGATAGGATCAAATTCTAATTTAATTTATCAGGTTGTTAAGAGTTGTAATTAAGGCTTAGAGGCTGGAACTTGTATCCAGCTTTCAAAAGGTAGGGAATGTTATGCAAAAAGATACAATTAGTTTTTTATATTTTACTAGGTGATATATCATTGTTGAGAAGTTTGAACTCATGCACATTCTGTCTTCTAGATAAATGGAGGAATCTGAGAAAAGAAAGGAAAGGCTGAAAGCAATGAGCATTGAAGCAGAAGTGTCTAATGACGTTGAGGCTTCTGCAATGCCTGGTTTCGAATCCATTGACCGAGACTGCAGGATGACTTTGGTAGAACTCCGCGTTTTGACTATTATACCGACCCTATGGCAGCATTTTCTGCTAACAAGAAGATGGGCAACAGTCATAATCAGACTGTGGAAGGGCAACAACCTTTTACACCTCCAACTGTGCATACACCGTTCCAGCCTGGTACACTCGTTTTTACTGATATTGATTTATTATACTGCTTTTTAGGTTGCCGGGCGACTTCAGAAGTTCTGCATAGGTTTTGCATATTTAACCATATTTCCCCCCTCTTTATCTTTTGAAGGAACTTTTGATTATATTGATCATAAAGAGGGATGTAGATATCTGATCATTTGTTAATGAGTTATTGATTAAAACCAATTGCACGGAATATCTCTAGTTTTGCAATTAGCATTAGTTGATATTCTTTTGTTTTTCTAATTAGTTTGCCTATTTATTCTGGTTCGGCGGGATCAGGGACTTCAATAGGTATTTGCCTCTCCATCAGATGCAAACCCATTTTTCACCTGTTCAGGGCGTATACAACCTTGGTCCATACAACCCTAGAATAACAAGACCTTCACTCATGCGTCGAGGCCAATCTGATTCTTGGAATGGATCACAAGCATCTGATAACCATAACATAGTTTCTGATGGAACACCCAGAGGAATGTTTGGTAATCCTAATAGGCATCCTGGAACTCCTCCTAGGGCCTAGAATCCCTCTAATACATCAAGTTACAGTAATTACCCGGCCCTGGCTTTGCTCCAGAAGGTAGCCCTGGTTTCAATAATGGAACAGTCAATCCTCGAACGTTTGGTAACAGTCTGATCCTCGATCGAGGACCTAGAGGTAGTCCTTATTTCAGTCCAGGATGAGGCAGGAGTCGTGGATACATCAGGAACAACACTCCTGGTTTAGGAAGGAGAGCCGGACGAGGACAAGGTTTTCGTGGTCATAGCTCAGCATCAAACAGGATATTAGGGCCAGAGAGTTACTCTGATGAATCCATGTTGGAAGATCCTTGGCGGCATTTAAAACCATTCCATGGAGAAGACAAGAAGCTGGAGTGGATGGTTTGAGTACTCCAGGCACTTCAAATTCCTGGCTTCCAAAATCCATTGCCACAAAAATGGCAAAAGTTTCAGAGGCTTCTTCTAACAAGTTTAGTTCTCAACAAAGTCTTGCTGAATACCTCGCTGCTTCATTCAACAAAGCTGTTTAGGACACCCAAAATGCATGGAAGTTGCTCAAATCTCCAAGAACAACCATAATTGGTTTGAAATGAATGGCGATGTAGAAGAGGTCTTCTATGACCATTTAGCTGATATTTGGACATGGCATTTCCAAATAAATAAATTTATTAGATGGATATTAATACATTAACGTGAGGTGAAAGCCATTAGGACCCATCATAAGTGGTAAAAACACCATAGCAGTATGTGTACTATATTTTGGACTGTATTTTAGTCGTCTATTGAAATATTGAAAAATTAGTCCATGTACATTTTAAAAAGAATAAAATGATTCCTTAAATAAAAATCAATCCATTTTGTCGTTAAGGGCTGATGTAATGTAAAAAAAAGAAAAAGAAAAAGAATCATCTAAAAGTACCAGTCGGTTATTAAAATAAAAAGTGGATGTATCAAAAATCGATTTGCTCTTACTTGAAATGTACATGAATTAGTTTGTTATATTTTCCAGTAAGGGACCAAAATGCAATCAAAGGTATAATAGGGAGACTTCCAAGCTACCTTTACCCACCGTAAGCAGGTATATTTATATTAATTTTCGCAGATTTAGAATGAAACTGGAACTTGAAAGGCAAACGATCTAAAAGCGTTGTGTTTTTGCTTTACAAGTGAACCAAACTGACAGGATTTTTCCTTCTGTTTCTTCAATTTTTTTTCTTGAACCAAACAGTCTTTAGGAGCGGAGGACGACGCTGGGTAAAAGAAAGCAGCAGAACCGCTATTGTGGAAATTAATTACTAATTACCAATAGCTAGGGCAGAGATCTTGTTGTTCTTGAGCGAATAGGAAGATGAATACTAACAAAAATAACAGTAAGAGCAGGAGCAGATTAAAGCATAAGCAAAACAAAGTTGAGCTGCTTCTTCTAGTACTTTATGCAATTGGCTTCTACGCCTTTTGTATCCGCCGCTCTCTTCACCTTTCTCGCGGTACTTGATGCTTTCTTTCTCAAATTTCATTCGGACCCTTCTTCATATGTTTGGCGTACTATATTCTGTAAATTCGATCTCTTGTTTGCCGCAGATCATTTCTCCGAACTACGTGGTTTGCGTGACGGATGGCTTTTCTCTCCTCCTCGCCTTAATGTATGCCTTATTATATAATTTGTTTACTATTTGAATGAATGAATGTTCAGTTTGTGATTAGGATTGATTTCTCTCGTATTTATATTCAATGTAGGATGTTTCTGATGCCCAGTGGAGAAACTTCCGATCAAACTTACCCATCCTTAGCCTTGTTTTTGGAATCTTTACCTTGCTTGCTGATATCTGCAGGAAATTGTTCCATTTAAAAACCAGAGGGATGTCCACTCTTTGGCTTTTCCTTTCTCTCAATTTACCTTTCCTATCTTCACGGAGCTTGGTTAGTTTAGCTGTCTATTTTGCTCTTGTTCTCTTCTTTTCTTGCTTTGCTGCCTTAAAGCTCACCCTGTCCCCATTGTTTCCGCAGCATCCTCTTTATCTTTTTAATTGCTACAGCAAACTTTCTCCTAGTAAAGGTTCAATTCCTTCCACTCTTTTTTTCCCTTAATAATTGTTCTCTATTTTCTAGTTTGTTTTTGCATCCTTCCTTCATCATTCTTGCCTGCAAATGCGTTTAATTTTAATTCCATCTCTAGATTTCTGTTTCTGCAGATATTTGCCCAAGCAAAGTATTTCACTTTTCTCCTTTGGATGTTCAACGTAGTTTTTCTTTTTTGCAACCGTATTTATGAAGGATATCCATTCTCCAAATTTGGGTGAGTAGTCTAAGCTGTAAGATTTTTATTTAGTTGGGAATGATAAATGGCATATATGCACATGGCACACTATTCTTTCTTAATGTAATTGCCTTTTTATTTATTATTATTAGTTTTTTGTTGCAAGCAGGGAACAATGGGAGTATTTGGACAATTTTCGAGGCACATTTAGATGGCACATTTGCTTTAACTTTGGTAGTTCCTTGCATTTACACTTTATTGATATTAAAATTCAGTGAATATAATGCATCCTTTGTAGATAAAAAACTTCTATAGTAATGTTCAAAGGAAATGATATACTATTTGTTAAAAACCAACATTTATCTAATAGGAGAAGCAGAATTGTACTACTTTTCATAGTGAATGATATATAGATAAACCAGAAGTTAGTAAGCCCTTGTGCCTGGAATAGCCAATCTGGTATGTTGCTACTGCTCTTTTGTTGAACAGGTTCTTGGGTTGATCATAAATTGGTTACTTAATGTCATGAATCACTTTCTAATACCGTCGGGTTTTTACTAAAAGTAAACTTTTCATAACGTAGCTTGAATATATGAATGTTGAACGAGAAAGACGAGCACTTAAAACGAATCTCCTTTGCAGATTGTGTTTTGCAAACAAAGGTCAACTTGACAGTACATGTGTATAAAAAACGAAAATTTACTTATTGCTCGTCTGTCCCGATTCTGCTACAGAGAATTCTGAGTAAAAGACTCTTTATAACAAAAAAATTTAGGGTTCTCTAAGAAGAATGTTCTTCCTTCTTCAAAGGAAGAAAGATATTCATTAACTCTTAAGCTAGTATTTGATGGTTCACATGTATCTATTGGAAGGTTTTATGACTATTTCTTTTGGTTTTTTATTTGAAAGTTGTTTTGCGCATGATAAGCTTTGGCTACGATTACCATTGGGCACATCAAGATTCACATTTTGATAAAGAGGTAGTTTCCACTGTTTTTTCTCCCTCTCGCTCAACTTCCCTCCCACTCTCCTGAACTTCCTTTTTCCCCCATTGGAATTGTCCTCTTGTATGTTCATTATGCATGATTCCTTCTTTCCGCCAGGTCTAATTAATATGAGTTTGACTATGAGGTGTGTTATTGGATCTGTTAGGTAAATGACAAAGTCGCTAAATAGTAGACAATCATATCATAAGTAGTCTAGGAATTGTTACTTCACCTTCAGAATATGTTTGTGTACAAGGACATTAGTTATTCTTTGCTTCCTTTCTGCATTTCTCGTGCATCCTTTAAACTGTTGCAGTGATTTCAATTAAGTTTAGCATCACCCTTGTGTCTTTTCATGTAGAAAACAGATTGTGTAGAAAACAGACTGTAGAAAACAGACAAGTCTGTTATTTTTATTCTTGTGTACATTCAGTAGAACATATTACATATTTATATACAAATTATGCCTCTAAACTAGGAAACTCTAAGAAAGGAAACTAATCCTAGGAGATGTAATCCCTTGAAATAAGGGATTGAAAAACAGAAAATAATTATAGAATCTCTTAACTTAAGGGATTGACAACTCATTTCTATAATTCCTACACTCCCCCTCAAACTGGTGTATATATGTTGTATATACCCAGTTTGAATGACATCTCATCAAAAGTCACTCGTGGAAGGGCTTTGGTGAAGATATCTGCCAGCTGTTTCTTCGTCGGAATGTACTGCAGTTTTGCAACTCCATTGTTGACCTTCTCATAAATAAAATGTCTGTCTATCTCAATGTGTTTCGTTCTATCATGCTGCACTGGGTTTTTTGCTATACTCATAGCTGATTGACTGTCACTAAAAATCTCAAAATTCTTCTTGTCATCTAAGTCCAGTTCTGTGAGCAATCTTTTAATCCACATTCCTTCACATATTCCGAGAGCCATTGCTCTAAACTCTGACTCAACACTACTTCGAGAGACAACAGCTTGTTTCTTACTTCTCCAAGTCACCAAATTACCCCAAACGTAGGTACAGTAGCCACTAACTGACCTTCTATCAGTTAATTCACCTCCCCAGCTTGCATCCGTATAAACCTTCACTATTCTATCTTGATTTTTTCTAAATATAAGTCCTGCTCCTGGGGTAAATTTCAAGAAACTTAAAATTCTGTTAATAGCTTCCAAATGTTCTTCTCGAGGATCACTCATATGTTGGCTGACAATGCTCACTGAGTATGCAATATCAGGCCTGGTCAGTGAAAGGTAGATTAACTTCCCAACTAACCTTTGGTAGGTTTCCTTGTTTACTGGATTTCCAGTCCTTTCCTTGCAAAATTTCAAGCCTGGCTCCATTGGAGTTTCAACTGGTTTGCAGTCGAGCATCCCAGTTTCTACAAGAAGATCCAAAACATACTTACGCTGGTTTATGACCAGCCCTTCCTCGGACCTTGCAACTTCCATACCCAAGAAATACCTCATACTCCCTATATCCTTGGTTTCAAACTCCTTTGCAAGATTCATCTTTAGCTTTTCTATTTCTTCTATATCACTGCCAGTTATAATCATATCATCTACATAGACAATTAGGAGGGTTATCTTACCACTCGGTGTAATTTTTCTGAATAATGTGTGATCCGCTTGGCTTTGTTTGAAACCATTCTGTGTCATAGCCTTAGCAAATCGATCAAACCAAACCCTGGGAGACTGTTTTAAGCCATATAAGGATTTATTGAGCTTGCACACAGTTTTCTTAGCGACCTTTCCTTCTAATCCGGGGGGACCTCCATGTATACCTCTTCTTCAAGGTTCCCATTCAGAAAAGCATTCTTTATGTCTAACTGATGCAATTTCCAGTCCATGTTAACAGCTACTGATAACAATATTAGGATGGTATTCAATTTTGCAACCGGTGCAAAAGTCTTCTGGTAGTCGATGCCATAGGACTGAGAAAAACCTTTAGCAACCAGCCTTGCCTTGTATCTTTCTACTCTCCCATCCGAATGATATTTGACTGTGAATATCCACCTGCATCCAACAGCTCTCTTCCCTTTGGCAAATCTGTCAAACTCCATGTCTTATTCTTTTGCAACGCTTTTATCTCTTCTTCCACAGCCTTTTTCCACTCAGGAGATTGAAATGCTTCTGTCACATTTCTTGGGATTTTCACAGTGTTAATGCTGGCAGTGAAGGCCCTGAAATTAGACTGTAATTTCCCATATGCAACATACTTATTTATGGGATGAGCGGTGCATTTTCTTACCCCCTTCCTAATAGCAATAGGAAAGTCATCAAGATCAACAGTAGTAGCCTCTTGGTAACCATCATTACCTTCTGTTTCAGCTGCAACAGGATCCGAATCTGGTCTGGGAAGTGATTTCGGATGCTGAGGGATCCGGATTAGCCATGAAAAAAATAGAGTTGAATAGGAATTGATTTAAAGAGAAGCAGAAATCGGATTGATCGCTCTAACCTGAT